CATCCAGCAGTGTTTCTAGAGAGAACAGTATACAGACGGCATCCAGCAGTGTTTCTAGAGAGAACAGTATACAGACGGCATCCAGCAGTGTTTCTAGAGAGAACAGTATACAGACGGCATCCAGCAGTGTTTCTAGAGAGAACAGTATACAGATGGCATCCAGCAGTGTTTCTAGAGAGAACAGTATGCAGACGGCATCCAACAGCATTTGTAGAGAGACTAGTATGCAGACGGCACTAAGTTTTCCCCTTTGTTTACATCTGGAGGCAGAAGAGCTCCTGCAGCTACATGGTGAGCTGTATGAGGGGAGAGTTGCAGCCACTGCAGAGGAAGAATGTGTTTCATATAACTTTTTAATGGAGAACAGGTCAAGAGGATGATTTTTAAACTCATCTGGGCTTCATTTTAAATGCTTTAAAAAAAAGCAACAAACCAAAAAACAAAACAATGGAAACAAAAAACAAACTCAGCAACCGATTTCCTTGATTTGCTAGCTTCAGGGAGAAAGCCTGAGCCCACCCGGGTGTCAAGGCTCCATGATAGCAGGCTGGAGCTGGCCGGAGATGGACCACAGCTTGGGTCTCGGCCCTAAGATGTCACGCTCCCTAGTTTGTGTCAGCCGCAGATTGATGTTGATGGGAGATGTTTTTCTGAAGAGGCAGAACTGCTTAGCTGTTATTCTTCCATGAAACTTAAGTGTAGGAAAGTAAATAAAAGAATACTTTGTGAGAAAAAGAAAAACCATGGTTGGGTAGCCACAAAGACATAGAAATGACTTCTAGCAACAAAGACATAGAATTGACTTTTAGCAACATACAGCTGGGGCTGGCAAGATGGCTTAGCAGGTTCTTGCTGTCAGGCCTGATGATGTGAGTTTGATCTCGGGACCTACTTGGTATGAGAGAACCAGCTCCCCTCCATTGTTCCTGACCTTCACCCACATGCTCTGGATTGTGTATGCATACATGTGCACACACACACACTAATACCTCAGCAGCTAAAAACGCTGGCTGCTCTTTCAGAGGACCTGGGTTTGAGTGACCAGCACCCACATGGCCACTCATAACCATCTGTAACTCCAGTTCCGGGGGTCTGAAGTCCTTTAAAAGTCTCTTTGGACACTAGGCATGTGCCCGGTGCACAGAATACATGTGGGCAAAATGCCAGTACACATACAATAAATTTAAAAATTTAATTTGATATCAGCCTCTGACCTCCACACGAGTGCACATACACAAATGTACATTCATTCTTACTGTGTACACACACATACAAAATCCTGAGGAAAAAAATCACTTCTTCCCAAGGTGATTTATAAGTTTAATATGATCCAATAAAAGCATAAATCAATTCTATAGTTTTTATTGAAAAATTAGGAAGAAACTAAGTTGTAAAGGAAAAGCAAAACAAAGCCGGGGACTAGAGATGTAGTCCCTTGGTACAGTGCAGGCATGAAGTCCTAGGTTTGATCTCTAGGGCTGCATAAAACTGAGCATGGTGATTGCCCTAGTTAGGGTTACCATTGCTGGGATGAAGCACCACAACCAGGTAAACTGGGGGGGAAGGGTCTATTTTGGCTTGAAGTCAGGGCAGGAACTCAAAATGAAACTGGAGGCAGGAGCTGATGCACAGGCCATGGAGAGGTGCTGCTTACTGGTTCGTTCCTCATTTGTTCAGTCTCCTTTTTTATAGAACCCAGTACCATGAGGCCAGGGGAGGCTCCACCCACAATGGACTGGTCACTCCCCCAATCACTAATTAAGAAAATGCCTGCAACCCAGTCTTACGGAGGCATTTTTCTCAACTGGAGTTCCCATGTCTCAGATGACTTTAGCCTATGTCAAGTTGACATAAAACTAGCCAGCACAGTGATACACTCTTGTAATCTTAGTTCTTGGGCAATTGAAACAGGAGGATTTCTACAAGTTCAGAGCCAGCTTGGACTACACAGTTCAGGGCCACACAGGACCACAGAATGAGTGAAACACTACCACAGATGAACAAACGAAAAGAATGTAGTATTGGTACATGAATTAGTAGGCTAAAGAAACAAAATTGAGGGGCCAGAGAGATGACTCAGAAGAGCACTGGCTGCCCTTCCAAAGGTCCTGAGTTCAATTCCCAGCAACAACATGGTGGCTCATAACCATCTATAATGGGATCTGGTGCCCTCTTATGGCCTGGAGGAATACATGCAGGCAGAACATTGTATAATAAATAATTAAGCCTTTGAAAAAAAGAAACAAAACTGAAAATCTATAAATTAATGAAATGGACATTTCAAAATACTGAGTAAAAGATAATATATTTTAATAAATAAAATAGGTCAAAGTGACAGAAAATTAGAATCAATTCCAGCCTTCACATCTGCCAGGATAAACTCCGTATGGATGAAATACTTAAGCTCCCCCACACACAAAAAAAATATTTATTTATTTAGTTAGTTAGTTTTTCAAGACAGGGTTTCTCTGTGTAACAGCCCTGGCTGTTCTGGAACTCGCTTTGTAGACCAGGCTGGCTTCGAACTCACAGAGATCTGCCTCTGCCTCCCAAGTGCTGAGATTAAAGTTGTGTACCACCACCCCAAGCTTATTTTCTTTCTTTCTTTCTTTCTTTTAATTTTCTAAGTGCAAAAATTAAAGGCAGATAGATCCAGGGGTTGTTCCACAGAAACATCTGTAGGTTTATCTACACACACAAACACACACACACACGCCCGCATACATGCATGCACAGCAAAAACTGTTGGAATAATTTTTTTCAGTAGTCCATAAAATAGTCAAAGGCTCATGGGCAGAGGGAAGGGCTGCATTAAGTTAGAGGTAATCTGGAGACTGGGCTATAGCTAAATTATAAAGCACACGTTTAACATGTGGGTTCCTAACAGCACACACAGAACTAATGGTTAATTAAAAAATTAAATGATAACCTGGAATGGATGAAAAGGGCTACAGCTCTTTCGTTGTTTTTGCTCACCCTCCACCCCCTAGTTTGGTTGTAGTTTGTTTCTTGTTGTTTTAATTATGTGTGGGTTGGGGTGTTCTACGTGTCAGATCCCCTGAAGTTGGCGCTGCAGCTGGTTGTGAGCCACCTGATGTCGGTGCTAAGAATAGACCTTGGGTCATCTGGGAGAGCGGCGAGAGCTCTTAGTTGCCAGGCCATCTCTTCAGCCCCTGGCGGTAATGTTAAAGAAGACAGCCCATGCATGCTGTCCATGTGGGACCATTGTTTCTGATTCCAGAGAGACACAGAAAGCAGATCTTAGTCTCAAAGGAAAAGACAAAGAGGGGAATAAAACATACTTAGAAAAGTAATAGACAAAACCTTTTCAAATTTAATAAAAGACTTGTATTTTTATTTCCAAATAGTCCAGCCAGTTCCAACAGGTTATGTGCAAAGTGACCCACACTGAGGCAATAATATTCAGACTTTCAGAAGACAGAGACACAGAAAATGTTTGTTTGTTTGTTTTAAGATGGGCACTCTGTGGTCCTAGCTGTCCTGGAATTCACAGAGATCCTCCTGTCTCTGTCTCCTATAAAGACATGTGTCGTGGGGCTGGAGAGATGGCTCAGAGGTTAAGACCACTGACTGCTCTTCCAGAGGTCCTGAGTTCAATTCCCAGTAACCACATGGTGGCTCACAGCCATCTGTAATGAGATCTGGTGCCCTCTTCTGGCGTGCAAGCATACATGGAAGGAATGTTATATACATAATAAATAAATAAATCTTTAAAAAGAAAAAAAAAGACATGTGCCACCACACCTAGCAGCAAGAGAGAATCAAGTTCTATTTATCTATCTGGGGCATGCGGCACAATGACGTGCAGGCAGAAGGCAGAGGACAGCTTGCAGGAGTCAGTTCTTTCCCTTCGCCTTGTGGTTCCTGGGGATCCAACTCAGGTCAGCAGGCCTGGCAGCAGGCACCTGAACCTTCGCAGTCATCATCTGCTTTGTAGAAAATACATTTGATACCATATTTTCTTTCATGTAGAATAGAAAACCGTGTATGTGTTTGTGACGTGAATGCAGAGGGGTGGTTTTTCTGTTGTTGTTGGAAAGTAGGAGGTTGAGGTTGAGGAACAGGATAGAAGTAATGGGGGTGCGGATAAATGTGAGCAAAGTTTAATAATGCACATGAAAAATGTCACAATTAAGCCCATTATTTTGTATACAAACAAATGAATGGTTGTACATTTGAAAGAATCATAATGTAAAGTTTAAAAATGACAGTGGTTTGGGTCAAGGTTTCTAGGGTATGTCTCTTCTCAGCCAGAGGGAGGTGAGCCCTTGATGCCTGGCTGCTTTGCCCTGTGCCTTTCTTCATGCGTCTCCCCCCCCCCCCCATACAGCCCTCTTTGAGTCTTTGCACAACCCGGCCTCAGACAGCCCGTTTTCCCCACCCCGGACTCTTCACTCCCCAACGCTGCAGCTCCGGCATCGCTCTGAAAAGCCACCTTGGTGTAAGTAAACCTTTCTAGTTGCCTAATCTAAAACCCAGAGGGATGGAGGGATGGGTAGATAAGAGACCTATCCCATTAGAGTTAGGAAGGTGAGGGTTGGAAGCCTAGGAATGGGGTGAAGAGGTGTCTCAGTGGTTGTAGCAGTCAGGAGCATGTGATGCTTCCAAAGGACCCAGCACTCCCATCAGGTGACTCACAACTGCCTGTAACTTCAGCCCCGAGGGAACCTGACACCTCTGGCTTTTGCAGACACCTGTACATTCACGTGCACGCACACACACACACACACACACACACACACACAATTAAAAATACCAAAACTAGATCTTTAAAAAAAAGACCATGAATGGCATGGGCCTTGTTACTGTGGTTCACTGAGGAGGCAGAGGTAGGATTATGAGTTTTAGGCCAGCTTGAGCTATATATTAAGCTCAAGACCAGCCTGGGCTGCATAGCAAGGAAAAAAAAAAAAAAAGAAGCTGGGCAATAGTGGCAATTGCCATTAATCCCAGCACTTGGGAGGCAGAGGCAGGTGGATCTCTGTGAGTTCAAGGTTAGCCTGGTCTACAGTTCCAGGATAGCCAAAGCTACACAGTGAAATGCTGTCTCGAAAAAACAAAACAGTACAAATATAGGAAAGACCATTCTGGGAAGCAGTTGCCTGTGCTATTTCCCTGTTCGCCTCTGTCCTCCAGCCCCACTGAACAGTGAGCCAAAGGACCTTTTACACTAAAGGGTAGAGACTCTCCACCTGACTACTCTGGTCTCCCCACAGCATTCCTTACTGATGCTGACTAGGAGACAACTTAAATATATAGAAATACATAGAAAAGCTAAAAGCCAGAAACACAAGTCTCACGCAGACTTGGCACATGCTCTAAGTCCAGTACATGGAGGCAGAGACTGAAGATCTGAGGCCAGAAAAGGGCTACATGGAGCAAGATTATCCCAAAGCACAAAACCAAAAAACAAGCAGAAGAAACCAACAAGAGCCTGCTGCTCCAGCGACCCTCCTGGGTCCTGCTCTCACACGTCCCCTGATGGGAGGGAGGCCTTCTCCTCTGTCTTTGCTGTCTTTAGCCTGTCACTGTTTGTTCTTGGGGACAATATGAACAGTGGACTCGAGGGAGACAGGCCCCAGGGAGGAACAGACCCTTTCCCTATCACCCTGCAGGAGTGACCAAGCCCACACCAGCCCTTCATGGACAGAGTGGAGGGGAGCTTTGCATGTCGGCACTGTGGCCAACAGTTACGGAACTGCTGCCTTCTGTTCTGGCACCGTGTGTGAGGAAAAACCTTTGTGCCCTGATGCCAAGAGTATGTCCTCAGATTTAAACTCACTTCACCCTCACTGAGCCTCTTCTCTGTCCACTAGTGGTCAGACCACAGGCTGGACGTTAAGGCTTCCTCTGTAACTGAGGAAAGCTTGGTTTGCTTCTCTTCTTTTCCTTCTTGTCTCCATCTAGTAGCAGCCCTTCACTGGTAAACATCGTCCCTGAGGTGTCTTTAAAACCTTGTTAGGCCCAAACCATGTCCTTCCTCCTGTCCTCCCTCCCCCATTCTCCCATTCTAAGCATGTCTTCTCTGTTTCTTTATAGCCTAGATGGAATAGGAGGAGGTACTTAAACTCAGTGGCTGAGCCTGTTCAGGGTCAGCCTTGTCAACTTTACCAATTCTCTTTGGTACAATGTATTTAGCTGTCTTGTTTCCAGACTCAGTCATTGTTGATACTATGTGATTTAGTATATAGTTGAAATTCCATTGATAAATATGACACTTACAAAAGAGAAACTTTTCTTGCTTGAGGTCACAGATTCCTGTAAATGAATTGAAGACTTTAAGGTTCTCATTATTTTTACTAGTTCTCATTTTTCTAGATTTTGTTTTGAAACACTCTGTAGACCAGGCTGGCCTCAAACTCAGAGGTCTGCCTGCCTCTGTCTCCAGAGTGCTGGGGTTAAAGGCGTGTGCACCAACACTTCCTAGCTTTTCTAGATTTAAAAAAAAAAATGTGTATGAGTATTTTGCTTATATGTACGCCTGGGGAGGTCAGCAGAGGGCATCGAATCCCCAGGAAATGGAGTTACGAGCAGTTGTGAGCAAACACATGGGTGCTAGGAATTGAACGCAGGTCTTCTGGAAGAATAACCACCGAGCCATCTTTCCAGCCTGTTATTTTTTTATTATTATTTTTAAAGACAGGATCTTACTATATACCTCTGTCTGGCCTGGAACTCAGCATGTTGGCCAGGCTGGCCTTGGTCTTGCAGCCGTCTTCCTGCCTCAGCTCCCAAGAGGTAGAGGGACAGGGGTGCATCTCCATGTCTGCCTCAGCTCCCAAGAGGTGGAGGGACAGGCGTGCACCTCCGTGTCTGGCAGGACCTTCCCTGTCTTTATCAGTGCATGTGCATCCACTTCATTTGGGGTTCTCAAGAGGATGGAGGAAATGAGCTTTGATGTTTTCTTTGTGTAAAAGATGAAATCTTACAGCATTGTATGTCTGAAGACCTAGTCGGTCTTTGTTTGTTTGTTTTTTGGGTTTTCAAGATAGGGTTTCTCTGTGTAACAGTTCTGCCTGTTCTGGAACTCTGTAAACCAGGCTGGCCTTGAACTCAGATCTCAGCCTGCCGCCCTCCCTAGTGCTAGGATTAAAGGTGTGTACCACCACACCTGACCTAGAAGGTTTTTTTTTTTAATTTATTTTTGGGTTTTATTTTTTTCCTTTTTTTAATGAAGAATTTTTTAATACAATCTTTTCTCATTTTACATAGCTATCCCCGTTCCCACTCCTGCTGCTCCTGTCACCCTACCCTACCCCACCTCTCAACGACTCCTCAGCAAGGGTGAGGCTTCCCATGGGGAGTCAGCAGAGTCTCCTCTTCGCTTCTAGGCAAGACCAAGGCCCACCCCTATATCTAGGCTGGACAAGGTATCCCTCCAAAGAGAATGCACTCAGTGTGGTGGTTTCTCAGAAAATTGGGAATCAATTTACCTCAAGACCCAGCAGTACCACTCTGGGGCATATACCCAAAGAATGCACACTCGTACCACAAAGATTTGTGCTCTACTGTGTTCATAGCAGCATTGTTTATAACAGCCAGAACCTGGAAACAACCTAGATGCCCCTCAACTGAAGAATGAATAAGGAAAATGTGATATAGTTACCCAAGGGAGAGCTACTCAGTGGTAAAAAACAATGACATCATGAAATTTTCATGCAAATGGATGGATCTAAAAAAACATCCTGAGTGAGGTAACCCAGACCCAGAAAGACAAACATGGTGTGAACTCATTCATAAGTGAATATTAAACATAAAGCAAAGAATAAGCAGCCTATAGTCCACGATCCCAGAGAAGCTGGGGAACAAGACCTAGAGGGTCTTAACCTTGGGTCCATGGATGGTTTCTGTGAATGCCATGGATCATACGGAAAGATCAGCATAAGCAGTGGTATATATACCTTTTCCCTGGAAGATAATCCATGATTTCTACAAGAGCCTTAATGATGTCTGACGGCCCTACCCAAAAGGGAAAGAAAAAAAAAAAAAAAGACAAGAATTGTCATTTGAGAACTCTGTTGTCTTCAGAATCTTCCATCTTTAGGCCAGCAACAACAACAACAAATCAGAGTTTTTTCCTCACACACGGTGCCAGAACAGAAGGCAGCAGTTCCGTAACTGTTGGCCGCAGTGCCCACATGCAAAGCTCCACTCCACTCTGTCCATGAAGGACTGGTGTGGGCTTGGTCACTCCTGCAGGCAGGGTGATAGGGAAAGGGTCTGTTCCTCCCTGGGGCCTGTCTCCCACTGGTGTCTCTCACTGGTGTCTCCCTCGAGTCCACTGTTCATATTGTCCCCAAGAACAAACAGTGACAGGCTAAAGACAGCAAAGACAGAGGAGAAGGCTTCCCTCCCATCAGGGGATGTGTGAGAACAGGACCCAGGAGCAGCAGGCTCTCGCTGCTCTCTTTCTTGGCTTCCTCATTTATAGGTTGCCTTTATTGTTTTCTAGCTTTACCAGAACTTTCCAGGTAGCCCAGGCTGCCCTATAGCTGAGGATGACCTTGAACTTCTGACCCTCCTACCTCCAGGTGCTGAGATTATAGGTGGGCACCACCATTCCTGAGTTGTGCAGTGTTGCACACTAGACCCAGGGCACTACCGCTGAGCCACACCCATGGTTCACTCAACTGGGAGTCTTTCCACAGAATAATATTGTCCTCATCTTCTCCCCTTCTTCCTACCCATATCTGTACACTAACCCTATAGAATAGAAACTAAGGAGGTGGAACCTGATAATCAGTATTTACGTATTCCCCACACTCCTGATGTGTAGCAGATATTGGGGACCATTGAGACAAAATGTTCACATACATCTAAAGTATGAAGGAGGAACCATAGACATATGGAGTTGGGATCAGAGAGTGTTTGTGAGAAGCCAGAGGAAGCAGGCCTTATTCTCCTGACTCATAGAGGAGCCTTAGCGTTATTCCTGTAGTCTCCATGAAGCTCGTGTGGCAGTTCCTGCGCAGAGCTAGCTTGTGTCTGCACATTTAGGAAGAATTCAGACCCCTTTCTCCAAAACATGAGCAGCAAAGCAAATGTGTTCTAGTATTTAATGTGCTCGCGTCAGCAGAGCCTCCTCTTCCAGCTCGTTTGACTTGACCTCTTAACTTTGATTTATAGACAGCAGTGGTCCTTCCAGCACCGTGTCCAGTGCTGGCCCTTCCTCTCCTACTGCAGCGGATGGAAACTCACATTTTGGCTTCAGTGATCAGTCCTCTGTAAATACACATATGACTGAAGAAAGCCAAGGCCTTGGGCTGCTCCAGGAGCCTCCTGGAGACAGAACACAAGAATTCCCCGTAGAAAGACCCCAAGAGCTTGTGGAGCCCGATCAGCCTCCTCAGGAGTCACCTGTGGAAACCAGCCCTCTAGGAGGCCAGGATGTTGCTGAGGTCAGCCAGGTATGCCAGGAGGTCCCAGATGCCACCCAGACACGCTCTAACATCCTTGAAGAGGTCCCTGACATCAGCCAGCTGTTGCTGAAGAGCCATGATACTGCCCCCAGCACATGCCAACCATGGCAGGCCAGCCAACTGTCTCACAAGGCTTATGAGGAAGTCGGCCAGCTTTGTCAAGACAACCCTGAGGAGAGTAACCAGCTGCGCCAGGAGGTCCCTGTGGAGCTGGGCAGGATGGCCCATGGAGGCCCTGTAAGCATTGGTAGCATGGTCCAGGAAACAGTTAAGGAAGTTGGCAGGCCAACCCAAGAGATCCCTGAAGAGATCGGCCCGCCATACCAGGAAGTCTCTGTGGAGGTTGGCATACTGGCTCAGGAAGTCCCTGCCATCATCGAGTTGTCTCAAGACATTCCTGAGGCTGACAGACCATCCCAAGAGCTCACTGAAGAGACTGATCAGGACTCCAGGGAGGATCTCCCCCAAGGCCAGGGTCCGTCTAGTGATGTAAACACTGAAAGTCAGTCTGTGGCCCGTGACCAGCACTCATCCCTTCCTCCAGCAACGTGTAATTAGTGGCTTTCCCACTGGTGTCGTCCTCCACCAGCCATCTGAGCCAGTAGCCTTTCTGTTGGCTGACACACCAGCCAGAGCAAGGCCTGGGCTCACATCAGGGATGTCTGAGGAAGCAGGTCTTCTGGCATAAAACCTATGCCTAACAGGAGCTAATCTATGTTCAAAGCAGCTATTAGCTCTTCACTAGCTGTGGGGTAGGAAATTGTAGATTGTTCAAGGAAATGCCACTTAACTGTTGATACTGTTGAGGGGACAGCAAATGTACAATGGAAGGCAAAAGGCTTTCTGTTTGTTGAAGGAAATATTCACAGCTTCTTAAGGTACCCTCAGACCATATGTGCATTCAAGGAAGCTCTTATCTTCACTGTCACAGGCAGGCCCAGGGCAGCTGCCCGAAATGTCTGCCGAATAGAGTTGCCTTCTCGCAAACATCTGTCATGGCCACTCATGGCTTAGAACGGGCTCATGGGTGTTTCTGTATAATTGCCAAGTGCTCCCTCTGCCCTAGTCCTGCTCCTCTGGACAGTGACTCTAGAGAAAAGTAGATATTAGATTGCCATGCGACTTCAGGGTGACTACCTGCTCTGGGAGATTTGGATCAGTCTATGAAGCTAGGCCTCCTTTTGTTGTGAGGCTGTTGGGTTTAGAAGATGCTATAGTAGAGAGAATAAGTTCTATTTTAAGCAATTAGCAGAGATCAATGATGTACAGACATGAGCAAAGATTTAATATATATATATATATAAACATATATTTCTGTAGTTTGCCAGGGACAGACTGGCCAAAGATCAAACACTCCAGGGTCCCCAAGTCATTTGTCCTTATATCATGTGTCTTTAGGACCATATATGATTATGAAGCTTTTCCCAAAGATTTAGGGGTATGAGTGGGCGTGGATAATGCAGTCATTGGAGTCAGGGGCTGGGACATAACGAGTGCTCAATAAATACGAGATAATGAGAACACGGATGGTGACGCCTTTGTGAACTCCATAATCAATAGGTAAGCCAGTTGTGTCTGTGACTGAATCAATCAAAAACTATTGTAGTAGAGCAGGGATTGGCCTTAAAAATAGAGAAGTCTGGCATCTGAGTCCCTACAGGGTCAGTCTTCTTCCCCAAATGTTTTTAATGCGCAGAATGCTGAGAAGTGTGACTGGAACAAGATTTGAGCTCTGTGGAGCGGCAAAGGCCACACTGCCTTCTCACCAGCTCCCGAGAAACACGCCCTAATGTCCCTCCAGTGCCTTGGGGGGAACTGACATGAAGAGGTGATGCCTGCTCTCTGCTCCATTGGCATCTTTACATTGGGGAAGCTCAGGACACTGGGAGGACTAGAATGTCCCTTTTCCATTATATACATTTATAACCTGACCACTCATGACATACCCAAGACTATAGAGAGGGGCGAGGGTAGACAGTAAAAGGCTCAGAGTTTTCTGAGGAAATACAGTGATTGTTTTTGACTCCATAGAATGCAGATCCCATTCCCTAAACCAAATGTATATGCCCACATTTTTAAGCCATTTTCAGTTTGGTGTGTTTGTTTTCTTAATTTTTATTTTATTTTTTTTTTTTGGGAGGGTTGCTTGCATGCGTGCCTGGTGCCCACAGAGGCCAGAAAAGGGTGTTCAAGTCCTGGAACTGGTGTTATAGAGAATTGTAAGCTGCCATGTGGGTGTTGGGGATTTGCTTCAGTTCTCTGGAAGAGCAGCCAGTGTTCTTAACCACCTCTCCAGCCCCTTGGGGTTTTTCGTTTGTTTGTTTGTTTTTTGAGACAAGGGCTGACTCACTATGTTGCTCTGCCTAGCCCAGAACTAGCTATGTAGCTCAGGCTGCTCTCAAACTCCTGATTCTCCTACCTCTGCCCTGAGTGTTAAGATCACAGGCATATCCATCACCCCCTGCATCTTCACAGACATGATGCTGGTTCCCACATCTCTTCCTCCTCTCACCCATGCTGTTTCTGGCTCCCCTGGGTCCTGACATGGATTTGAATAGTCAAGAGTCTTCCGAGATAAGTGATGCTGCTGACTGAAGCAGAGAGGTGGAAACCAGGACAACTGAGTCACGTATGGAGTCTAGAGAAGCCTAAGCAGCACACCGTCTGCAGTGAACTTGGTTTATTGTTAGACTTGAAGGTGGCTCTGTTACAGCAGCTGGGAACTGTAGCGGGAAGTGTGGGGAGGAGCAGAGCACAGCAGTGGGGAGGAGGGAGCTGGGAAGAACATGGGATGGGCTCCTGATTTCCCATTGGCTTGACAGAGAAAGCAAGCCTCAGGGACCACCTGCATCTGGGTCTCTCAATCCAGCAGGCTTCAGCAGTGCTGCTCCCTGGCTTGCCTGTGGTGAGGTTCTTTCCTATAGTAGAATGCTCAGCCTGTCTGCTTCACTCTGGAGGAGATAAGCTATAGCTCTGCTTCCTCTCTTCTTCCCCCCCCCCCCCGTTTTCCCCAAATTCTCTAGACCAGCATCCACCTCCCAGAACCTCTGTCCAAGAGTTTGGGTTTAGAGAGGCAGCCAATGTTCCCATTTCAGCTGCAGGATGGTAGAGGATTTGGAATGTTGGGGGAGTCACACATGGCTAAGATGTCAGATGTAGAGGTGTCAGGGGTGTCAGGCAATGGCTTATTTTTAACCCATTACACACCAGGCCATAGCAGATGACCACATGCAGAAAAGCCAAGCAGGGGATGAGAAGGGATCAGGACTGTTGGGATGGGATAAGTGAAGACTAGATGATCAGGGAGCCTGGAGGATTGGGGTTGGGGCTCTCCTTGCCCTTTGTGCTGCCCAGGTGGCCTGGGCTGGGCACAGCCCTAGGTCGTAAATAGTATGAAGCTGGGGCTGGGAGATGAGATCCTTTTTCCTCTCCCTAGTTCTTGGTCTAAAGAGCTTCAAGTTTTGGATTGAGACATTCAGATACTGAGGGAAGCAATAAGACAATATAGCAGCCATCCTACCCCCGGGTCCCTGCTAGAAGCCATACCCTGGTGGCTAGGGCATGGGAGATGGAGGAAAGAGCACAGCTCCGGGTACCTTACCAACCGTGGCCTTCCCCACATCATATAAGTTACTGGCAATTCTTTCTGGCATGCCAAATAAATAACGAGGTTGCAGGGGGGTGTTCATCTCCCTCCATGGGGAGGACTGTGCTCTCTGAAACCCTCCTCATCCAAGACCAACATTTGGCAGTGCTAGGAGAGGGTTCCAGGCGTCAGGTGATCTTGTGTAGCTTTGTATCCCCCCCCCCCATTGCCTTTGGTTTTGAGACCCCAGGAGCAGATGAGGGGAAGCCACTACCTCCCACTTAGCCCAGGTCCTCACACACGACCTCGCCCTGCTGCCCAGCTCCATTTCCCTCAACCCCAAAGGACTCAGCAGTAGTCATTCTCTATATGCGCTGTAGGGGTGGAGCCTTGGGGAAGGGAGGGCGGGTCTGTTCAGAATTCAATCTTGCAGGCTGGAAAGGACTCGTCCTGCATCACCACGGTGCTGCTGCTAGCCAGGACCAGGACGTTCAGTTGCTGCTGTTGCTCATGCGTCTGCTGGTACCACTCCCGAGTCACCTCTGTGTCGTGAGTAGGGATCAGAGTCACCTAAGCGGAAGCAAACATGCCTGAGGTGAGCATGTGAAGGAAGGAGAGATGAAGGGGAAGGGACACCTGGCAGTCATAAATGAACCTGCTGCTGGGGGGAAGGGCTGTGCCCTCTTGTGAACAGGGGCTGTCCTGCTGTTGCCTCTGACAGAGCTTCCACCAGAATCCTTCCCTTGTGCGTCCCTTGCTACTCACCTGAAGGTTCTCTCCCCACTGGGCCTTGCCTTCCAGCAGAGCATCCAGCACAGCCCGGCTTGGCTCGCCATTGGCAGGGTCATTCCCACTGACCACATAGTAGGATGCGCGCACTCGGCGGAAGAAGTCCAGATCCGCAGTCTTGCCACTGCAGTGATTTGGGATGTAGGCAAGATCCACATACACAGGGGGGCCGGAACCACCCTTGGAGCCCAAGGCTGCTGTGGAGACAAGCAGAGCGTATTGTAAAGAAAAAGCGGGGGGGGGGGGGGCGGGGGGGGCAGTAGTGTGCATACCACTAGGGAGGCAGAGGCAGAGTCAGGTGGATCTCTGTGTGTCAGAGGCCTGCCTGATCTACAAAGTGAGCTCCAGGACAGCAAGGACTACACAGAGAAACCTTGTCTTGAGAAACAAAAGGATTACTTGGTTGCCTCCCCACTTGCTTGAACAGCTGGAGCCTTTCGCTAGCCCGTACCTACTCCAACCCACAATATTCCCGTCCCCACTTTTCTGACATACTCACTGGGTCCTGCCTTGAGTCCACTGACTAAGCCTTTGGACATGGGACTGTGTCCATCCTTTTCTTCTGCTGGGGTGACCTGGCTTGGAGTTCTGCGGGGTAGGACCCTAGATGTTCGATCTGCAGGCCCTTTACCAGGAGTAGGTGACCGCTTTCCCCGAATATCCAGACGCCTTGCAGGAGATGCTGGCTTGGCTCGGCTGGGGGCCCTGCGCCCCAGTCGCCCCTGCACCTTCTCCTTTTCTCGTAGTCTCTCAACTCTCCCAGACTCTGAGCTGAGCCCCTCGGGGTCAGCCATGCAGACATCTGGTCGGGGAGGGCAGGGGCGGGGGTCTGGCTGGGGAGCCGGGGGTGGGTCATGGCCCGGCCTGGGGTGATGAGTTCCACTAATTCCCCCGGCCTTGTCCACAGGCAGGAAGTCCCCATCTTCATCTGAGTCGAGGGCTGCCTCAGCTGTGATGGATGGACACTCTTCAGTTTCTGGTGGGACATCAGAATCTGACTGTGAGGAGCCTGAGTCACTGGCTGATGTGGGGGGTGTCTCATCAGCCATAGGGCATGGGCCCCCTGTGGGCCCTGGCCTCCCTGCCCGGCGCCGCCCTCCTTTTCCTACCAGCCGAGCTTCTTCAGTTGAAAGGTCACTGTCATCTGTGGATGGGGGCAGAGGTGGGTTCAGGAATGAAGGAGAAAGCTCCCCGCAGTGGGGGCGGGGCTCTGTAGCACATCCCTGAGGTCCAGCCTCAACTTCAGGAGAAAGACTACAGTGTGGGCCACCGGGGCTCTTCCCAGGATGCTCAGATGAGAGCAGTGTGTCCGGCCGGGAGTGCCGCTCAGCTCCCTCAGGCCAAGACCCCCGTTCCCAAGCAGGGCAGTCCTCAGCAGCGTCTTCTTTTTCTCCCTTGGCTGTGACAAGCCCTGGGGGATTGGGGCTGGTTTCTGCTAGGCCATTGGCTGCGTGAACTCCAGAGAGGCTTGGCTTCTTGGTGAGTTCCCCTGAGCACTCCAGGCGGCAGGGCAGTGTACCATCATCCATGTCTCCAGGCAAGCTTGGAGCTGGAGCTGGAGCTGGAGCCAAGTCCAGTGAGGTTAAGGGGGCTGGGCCCAGGGGAGCAAGGTCCCAGAGGCTGTGGGCAGCTGGCTCCGTTCCTGGGCCCAGTTCAGCAGTCTCTAAGCCAGGAGGGAAGCGTTCAGCCACACTTGAAATTACAGGTGTGGTAGCCTCAGAAGAGGACCCTTCAGACAGGGCTGGAGAGGCTGGTCGCGGCAGATTGGAGAGGAGAGGGGCCTCAGGAGAGCTGGGTGAGGGGAGTTGGGGTAGTGAGGAATCCAGGCTGGGCGCCTTGGTTACTTCTAGGTACTCATCATGTCGGGTTCTGGTTGGAGTTCCTGGAACCAGGGCCAGTGCTCGGTCCCCAGAGAAGGCAAGGGAGCCACAGGGTGCAGACCGGGGTTCAGCTGGAGAGGGCAGCTGAGGGGGAGCAGGCTGCAAGGAGGAGAAGCCGAAGGCCGAAGCAGGGAAGTCCAGACTTGGTCGGGCAGGTCCTAGATGTGAGTCTGAGGAAAGGCTGGTATGTGCCTCCGTTTCGGGCCACATTGAGGGGTGGCCCACAGGCATGGGGTGCCGGGGACTTGGGGACTGTGCCTCTTTCTCTGA